AGTGTACTCATGGGCATGCATACATATATTTCTCTTCATATACTCTGTTGAGTATGTGGACAACTGTTAATAATGTTAGCATTTCACAGCGTGACTTCTGTGGCTGTGAGGTGAATTCCTTACTAACCAATGGTCGATATCGAACCGTTCAGCACGATTCCGATTACTTTGGCGGAGGGGTAAAAAAAACCGATTTTCGTATAAATGGATTATGTGCGGATGGGGGAGCTTCTCCAGGGCAGGAATATCGAAAAGTAATATAAAAATAACTTATATTTTTAAAAGCATTCACGATTAAAAGTTCAAAAATTTGCACTAATAGCACATGGTATTTCTCTATCTTCCGCTAAATTTATTCACGCTTTTCACTCTGTATATTTAAATATACACTCTAAACATTGAAATAAGTTCACATTTCAATTTTATTTTGTAATATTTTACCTAAATTTATTAATTTAAAAATCACTTATCTCACTCGTCGCTGCAAAGGTTAGATTGTTTACATTTATGAGGAAAACGAGCGTTGCCACATCGTAAACACCAAATATGTAGGATTCTTAACGATTTTTCTTTGTTTGTTTTTTTGCGTGATTCTTTTTTCTACTACATATGTATATTACATTTTTCCATCTACATATGTATGTATATGTATAATATGTGATTTATATTTAATAAACACAAATAACTAAAACTCTATGATAATATATTATTATAAAATGTATATCATATCGGGATGACTGAAGTACTCCTTACTTTAAAAATAATTGTTTGTTGGTTATCATGCACTCATATTGAAACAAAATTTAGGTTTTCGTTATAAAATGTGAAAAATTAATCTGTCAGTGATTTCCATTTATTTTTGATTATACATTGTTTTGTTAGGTGACGATACATCAATTTCTATATTTAAAATATGAGTTTTGTATATAAAGTGGTTATATTTGTTGGTTACCACGCCCTCATATAAAAATTTGAATTTTCGTACTGCACTAATATATTTAACACTTTATTACGTAATATTATATAATATTAATTATTTGCTTAATAAAATTAAAAAAGAAAATATCCATATGCATGAATAGAGGAATTTTTGCGAAAAAGAGGAATTTGAGCGAATTGCCTGATCATCACATGGCAGTGTTCCATTTCGTCGTAATTTTTGGTAAACAAATGAGGTTCAAACGAGTGTAAAATGTAATTTTTAAAATAAAGATTTTTTAGGTAAAAAACCTGCTAAAAGTGTAAATAATGGATTTATTTAAGTTTAGAGTGTAATTTAATTAATTTGAAGTGAAAAATGTGAATAAAGTGTGTTTAATGTGATGAAGTAGCTTATTGAAGTGTACGAATTTTGCGAATTTTTGAACTTTAAGGTCGAATATCTCCTAAACTAGGAGGACTTCCTTTTTCCAACTGTACCTTCAGATCGCGGCGCCAAAGAAATCGGAATTGTGCCAACCGTTCTCTGGTACAAATATTATGGCTTAGAAATATTTTTGATAGAAATAGATAAAGTAAAATAAATTTTGCAATGAAAATATTATGTTAAAAAATAAAAAAGATCCATGCTTAACCCTTATGCGCGCATTTTGAAAAAGTTTATAGATAACATCAGTAATTTTACTCGAAATATTTTTTATTTTTTTGGAACAAAAAAAATTCGTATTGTCAATCATAATTTTGAATAGATTTTTAGTTCTTTCAGAATTTTTGTAATTGTCGAAAGTAACCTTTCCCTAAATTCTGTGCGCTGTTAGAAGTTCTAATTTTCGCAATTGATCAAATTTGTGTACATAAATTCAGAATTTCTTGATTATTGTATTGTAAATTGACTTTTCATTGTTAAAGAAATTATTTTGTAAAAATAAGTTAAATTAAATTTTGTGAAATATGTTCTCTGGTGCGAAACGTGCGACCAGATTGGAAGCGCATACGACAAAACGCAATCAGCGCATTATCGAGGAGTTTGTCAAAAATGAAGATGTGCCACATTGGTATCGCGGGTTGTCTTCCTTTCAAATTGAGGCCGCACACCAATTGCATTATGCTATACGCGATGACCTTGAACAGGGTACAACACATCGCGTATGGAACTTATTAAATCGTATTGGCCTACGACCGAGCATCAGTGGTAATAACATTCGTTTCCTCATGTTCATGAGCGGCGGCAATGATTTGGCATTTTTATGGTTCATTAAAGAATTATTCTACAAAACCGATGGACCAGATTACAATCTAAATGAACAATTAATTCTATCAAGTATTGCTAATCTGGACACATTATTCACGCTACGCGGTCTAGATAGCATACTGCCGCCTGAACAGCCAACGAAAGAAGAAATTCGACGCATTGCGAAGAAGAAAATCGCCAAACAGAAATTAAAATTCCAAAACGAAACTGGAAACGAAAACGAAAAAGCGACCATCAATAGCATGCGAGTTAAGTATAAGCTACCATACTTTGATGAATTAGTGCGGCCGCGACTTTATGAGCATCCGCTAACCTCATTTCCGCCTACCTATCGCACCAAGTTAATGTTTGAAGATGTACTTAGGGACTCGCATTATGTCATACCGAATGAGAGCAATCGCTGGTTTGCCGATTATCAATTGCACCCCGGCAAGAAGACGGGTGTGGAAATGCTAACCGACAAAATGCAGCAAATATTCAAAACCAAATTACCAAGGCAATCGGTTATGATAAAAAACGTATTTAAAAAACAGTTGCTTAATAGTTTAAATACAGAAGTATATTTGCACGAGGATATGCAGAAAAAGAACCTATGCTTACATCATCAAACATTGGAGGAAATGGAGAGAAATCTCGAAAATGAATTACGTTGGCGAGCACAAGAAAAATGCTTGAAATATTTCGATACGGAAACACCCAAGCGGGAGGTGAGTAAATATATACACGCACTCAGTGAAGTTTTTTTCAAATCACGGATATTATTTTCTCTTCAATTTTAAGACCCTATTGAGATGATTATATTGTGATYTATGTATTAGAATGATCTTGATACGAAAACCACTCAAGAATTATATTTTTCACCAAATCTATAATTATCTCAATAATTCTTTCTCGCATTTTTTTTTATTTAGGAGCGTATTGAACGCATCCGTAGACAGATTGAAGAGGACGTTGATGAGCTTATGACGCAATTCAAGCGATTAGCTAGTCGCACTCGTAGTCACATGCAGATTATTTCGCAAGATAAGATCCGAGTTTGTGACTCAAATGAACTTAACAGCACGGATCGTTTATGCGGTGGCGCACAAAGCACATGGACTAACTTGACATGCCACAGTGAAACTTGTCTAACACAGCGAGATTTCGGTTGCGTACACGAGCATAAAGCAACTTCTACGATAAGTAACGACAGTCTGCCAAGCTCCTCAGAAACGGGTACAAACTGGGTAGAAGAAAATATTGGCGACTGTTTGACTGTAACTACAGAGGCCAAAGSGAAATGCTGCAAGGAATGCAGAACAAAGCCATCAAAGCTTAAGCGCAAACGTACAAACCCATATGCGACGAAGAAACAAAGTGTGCGCGATATTTTACATAAGATGCCTTGCGATTGTGGTTACAAATATGTGAAAAACTACGATTATGGGCATTCCGAGCAGGCAAAACACGAAACGGAATCGTATTTCAAAGCACCCGATGCAAATCAACCGTACATGTTCGACTATCCCAAAGTGTTCGCACACAAGGAACGTGAAAGCACGCGCTTAAATGTGCAGAAAGAATTCTTAAAAACCATWAATAGCGATTTAAATTTAGATGAGAATGATCCGAATGCGCCAAAAAATCTAGATGAAGCTGTAAAAGAATACGCAAAGAAAGCGTTCAAAGAAGGCGTAGCTGCTAAAAATATTGAAATGGCTGCAGAGGAAGAGCTAGAGAAAAATCGGCGYAGATATCCTTTTTTGGATGTGGAAATGGATTACTATGATCCGGAAGATAGGAAATTAATGCAGAGTATGCTGAAAAATGCTCTCGATTACTTGGCTAAAAATCCAAAGTATGTCTTAGCCTCAATGCCTGATGCATATAAACTGCCATCCTTACTTTCGTGGATGGAGACACGCTATGGTAAAACGTATACGCGGGAGCAGCTGGTCAAAATGCATATTAAAACACGTCCAACATTCCGCGCTTTAAAACAGATGACCGCAGACGTGCTGATGCCCTCAGCCCGAAGTTTGGGCAATGCCATTTATGTGAATTACAATTGCAGAGATTACCTCATGAAAAAGGTTAGTTCGCGATTATACGAGTGCTCAAATCTTTGTATTAAAGRCATTTTCTTTTAGACCGAAATTTTGCGCAATGAATATTACAGAAGATTGAATGCATCTATTATGGATCAATCACGCACCTTTTATTTGGCAATTAAGCCTCATATATGCAGTCATCCTAGGGACACTTTCTTCGCATATATGCCGTCGCGTGAAGCGGACATACAACACTTCCGTATTTGGCGTAATCACGAGCATATGCCCGCAAAGGATGAGTTCTTCAAACGAAAATGTCGTGCCATGAAGTTAGCCAACCGATTCTACTGAGTCTTATTAACGGCGTATCCGGTTTTTGTTTAGCAAAACCAGTTTTGTTATGAAATTGGTGTAATTTTGTAAGCAAAATTGTCCGCAAATATTTCATATTAACCACTCAAACTTCTAAATTCATACAATGTAAAATACATAAAAAGTTAGCGCGATAAAAAATTATGTCAAAAGAAACTTTGTAGTTTTTTTTTTTTAATTGTTTGTTTTTTAACATTCACGTTAGGGTTAAGACTCACACCAGAAATGTGAATGATTCACATTCAAACCGGTGTATTAAACAGCTGTTTCCATTGTTTCCATTTCTTTCGTTTATTTATTATCTCTTCGTCAAAAACTACCAACAAAAGTTTGGAAATAATTCATTTGAACAGTCATAATAAAAATAATCAATAACAAATGTTAAAAACAGGTTAAAAGTGCATAAAATGAATCGTAATAAAATTTCCTTTGGGAAAATCAATCTTAACCCAAATAAACCAGCTGTGGTAACGGAGAAGCCGGCAGAAAGCCAACATGACGCTTCATCTTCAGTGACCAGTGTCGGTGGTTTCAAGAAAATGGGCAAGCAACAGCTCATACGACAAGTAGAAGAGGTGACTGAAGATATGGAAAGTCAGCATCTTAAGGAAATAATGGGTATAAGCGGTTTTGGTCGCAAAACAGCAAAAGTCTTTGATATCAATGTAAGTAAAAGAGTATATACATGTATGTGGTAATAAAATAAAGTTCAAAATTTATTAGGAGCAAATAGCAAAAGCACGTGAAGTTGCACCGCCAAAACCGCGTGCCGAAAGCGAAGAATCWAAACCAGTTGGCAATGACGATTCAGATGATGAGCCTGCGTTTGGACCTTTACCACCTGAAGCGCTCAGCACAGAAAAAGACGGTGATAAACAAACTGTTTTAAAGCCTAAAAGAACAGATGCTGATAGTGATGATGATGACGACGATGATGAGGAGGATGATGACGATAATCTTGAACGTAAAATACCGAATACTCACGAGGTACAAATGCAGCATGGTTCGCGCGCCGTACTAGCCCTTGCAGGCGATCCTGCAGGTGCACGTCTAGTGTCCGGCTCCATCGACTACGATATGTGTTTTTGGGACTTTGCCGGCATGGATGCTGGTATGCGTAGTTTTCGTACCATACAACCATGTGAGAATTATCCCATACGAGCACTACATTATTCCGTTACTGGTGATATGATCCTGGTAGTGTCGGGTAACTCACAAGCGAAAATCCTTGATCGTGATGGTTTTGAAAAAATGGAATGTGTTAAGGGTGATCAATATATAAGCGACATGGCGCGTACAAAGGGGCACACAGCACAACTCACCTCTGGCTGTTGGCATCCGTATACACGTGAAGAATTTCTTACTGCAGCGCTTGATGGCACTTTACGCATTTGGCATGGTTTGAAGTCCAAGGAGCAAAAGACGGTAATTAAGACACGAGCGCTAGGTGGTTTGCGTACCAATGCTTCGGCGTGCACTTTCAATCGTGATGCCACCCTAATCGCTGCTGCTTGTGTAGATGGTTCGGTGCAGATGTGGGACACACGTAAAATGTTTGTTAATACGACGCATTGTTTGCGTGGCGCACATCAGAAGGGATCGGAAATCACTTCTGTACAATTTTCGTACTTGGGTACACAACTGGCCACACGTTCCAATGATGAAACTATGAAGTTGTGGGATTTGCGTAAGTTTAAAGAACCGCTGCATACATGGACTAGTCTCTTCTCGCGCTATGACACCACGGACTGTTGCTTTAGTCCGGATGATAAAATGCTGGTGACGGGTGAATCGTTACCAAAAGGTTCGAAAGAGGCGCAATTGCATTTTTATAACACTCAGACATTTGAAGAAGTGAAGCGTATCGCGGTTACCGATTCGCACGTCATTAAGGCAATGTGGCATCCAAAGTTGAATCAGATTTTTGTCGGTTGTGGCAATGGKGTCATCAAATGCTATTATGATGAACTACTCAGCTCACGTGGTGCCAAATTGTGCGTTGTCAAGACACATCGCAAGAAGAAACATACTGAAATGATCGGTGTATCGCAGATAATTACACCACATGCATTACCAATGTTCAGACAAGAAAAATCCAAGTCATCACGCAAGAAAATGGAGAAAGAGCGTTTGGATCCTGTTAAATCACATCGTCCTGACTTACCAATCACCAGTGGACAAGGTGGTCGTGTGGCAAGTTCAGGTGGCACGCTCTCATCATATGTCATTAGAAATTTGGGTCTGAGCAAACGCGTTGACGACGATCAAGATCCACGTGAAGCCATTTTGAAATATGCAAAGGAAGCGGAGGAGAATCCTTACTGGATAGCGCCGGCGTACAAAAAGACACAGCCGAAGCCGATATTCACAGAATCGTCCGGTGAGCCCGATGCAAAGAAAGCAAAAGAGGAGTAATTAAGTTAGAAGATAACGTGATAGGGCTTAGATTTGTGACATAGTATGTAATTGAGAATTAATAAACAAGCGTCAGTGACCAACACTTCGTGTTGTAATTTTTAATGTTTTGTTGTATAAAATATGCTGTTTGTATTGTCTAACCATCRACCGCGTTACTTAAGCTAAGTTTCTATACGTGCTAGCCCATCCTGCAGTCTGTAGCAATCGCTGGCAATTTTCCATTTATCCTCCTGCGCGGTAATGATAAACGTCTGTTGGAATGGTCGCACTACTTCTTCAGCGTAGCGCACAGTACCGCCGGCTTGTATCATATAAGTTAATTGACCGCCAACGGCCTCATCAATAATCGGTTGTGCATCCAAATTAGTTATTGTATGCTCCGAAGTAGGTAAATCAATTAGATATTTTTGTATGTTATCTTTGCCACTAGATCCATTACCATTCCAAACAAGTAAACCATTATCAAGATACATGCGACCCATTTGCTAGAAATGTAAGAAGTACTTCTGCATTTTACCTGTGTATATGGTGGAAATGTGTATATGCTTACATGGCGTCGCTTATCAAAGGATGTGTAGTATAGTTTCGTGAAATCCTCGGCTGTACGGCAGCATGATTCCACCTTGCTACGCAACTCCTATAGAAGAGTATTCTTTTAATAAACCAGTTTAATATAGCCTTTATATAAAAAAAAATTACTTACACTGTCCATTTCGGTTTGTTTACGCTTTCATTAACAATAATTTAGCTAATTTTAATTAATTTTCGTATATATTGCAAATTAATGTGAAATATACTTTGCAAAACACATTTKTTGTTCTTTTTGACTTTTATTTGGCCGGTTCTATGGCGTTGCCTGCTTATAAAATATTAAATCTCTTTTACTTTTTAAAATTTATAAAACTGATGATAAACAAAACTCACAAAATTTTATGTATCGGTATTTTGTACAATTTTAAATGCTGTTAATAAAAATAATTGTTTAGTGACCGAAATTTATTATTTGAAATTTGTGCACATTAATTCTTTTTCATTTAAAAACATTTGTTCTGTCTATTGTGAATTACACAATTAACTTCTTCTTATCGCTGTAGGAAGGCGCACAATTTTTGGCAAAACGGCGTTTATTTCATTTTAACTCATCATTACTCCCTGAATTTGTATAGTTTGTATCCTGTATAGTTTGTATTTTCGTTATTTTATAAAGATATTCTCCAATTGGTTGTTAAAATAATAAGTGTAGCAGCTTTATACATTTCATACGATGGCGGATACACTCGAATACAGCGATATAACATCAGAAGTTCGCGGCGTGATGGTAAGTAGCCTCACATACCGGTCATTATACACAACACATTTTGCGAATAATAAGAATTCACACCTGTATGCATTTTACAGACACCCGGTCGATTGAAGCTTACTGATCAACATATAATATTCAAAAACAGTAAAACCGGCAAGGTGGAACAAATTGCTGCAGACGACATAGAATTGATTAATTCGCAAAAATTTGTCGGCAATTGGGGTTTACGTATATTCACCAAAAATGGTGGGCTACACCGCTTTTCCGGATTTCGGGATTCGGAAAATGAAAAATTGGCCAAATTCTTGAAGAAAGCTTACAAGCAAGATATGGTTGAGAAGGAGATGTGTGTTAAAGGTTGGAATTGGGGTACAGCACGTTTTCTCGGTTCAGCGCTTAGCTTTGACAAGGATAATAAGACCATATTTGAAATACCATTACAGCACGTGTCTCAGTGCATGACTGGTAAAAACGAGGTGACATTGGAATTTCATCAGAGCGATGATGCACCAGTTGGTTTGTTGGAAATGCGTTTTCACATACCTGCTGTTGAATCGGCTGAAGAAGATCCCGTGGAAAGTTTCCAAAATAATGTTATGAGCAAAGCCTCGGTTATATCAGCATCAGGCGATGCTATTGCCATTTTCCGCGAAATACATTGTCTCACACCGCGTGGTCGCTACGATATTAAAATTTTCTCAACCTTCTTCCAATTGCACGGTAAAACTTTTGATTACAAAATACCAATGGACTCGGTGTTGCGTCTCTTTTTACTGCCACACAAAGATAATAGGCAAATGTTCCTCGTACTATCGCTAGATCCGCCAATTAAGCAAGGACAGACGCGTTATCATTTCCTTGTACTGCTCTTCGGACCTGAAGAGGAAACCTCTATAGAACTACCATTCAGTGAAGAGGAGCTAAAGGAGAAGTATGAAGGAAAAATTGAAAAAGAACTTTCTGGTCCATTGTACGAAGTAATGGGTAAAGTCATGAAAGTTTTAATAGGACGCAAAATTACCGGTCCCGGCAACTTCATTGGGTAAGTGCAGTTATTTATAATTTTTCTTATTTATGCACTAATTTATTTTCGGTTATTCGACAGTCACTCCGGGACTGCAGCTATTGGTTGTTCCTTCAAAGCCGCCGCCGGCTATCTTTACCCACTAGAACGTGGCTTCATCTACATACACAAGCCACCAGTGCACATACGTTTCGAGGAAATTGCTTCGGTGAATTTTGCACGTAGTGGCGGTTCCACGCGAAGTTTTGATTTTGAGATTACATTGAAAAACGGCACTGTGCACATATTTAGTTCCATCGAAAAGGAAGAATATGCAAAGCTCTTCGATTACATACAACAAAAGAAATTGCGAGTCAGCAATATTGGCAAAGACAAGGGTGGCTACAATGATGTCGACTTTGGTGATTCTGATAACGAGAATGAACCGGATGCCTATTTGGCGCGTGTCAAGGCGGAGGCGCGCGAGAAAGAATCGGACGATGAAGAGGGCTCGGAAGAGGAGTCTACCGATGAAGATTTCAAACCAAACGAGGCTGAATCGGATGTGGCCGAGGAGTATGACAGCAATGTGCAGAGTGATAGCGAAGATTCCGACGCGAGTGGAGGGGGCGGTGGTGGAGCTGGCACTGACTCGGGCGCGGAAAAAAAGAGCAAACCAAAAAAGGAGAAGAAAGAGAAGAAGGAACGTAAAGAGCGCGTGGTAAGTTTCGTTTATGAGAAACTATTATACAAATTTTCTTTGAATTATTGAAAACTAACTTTTTATATTAATTTTTGTAATCGGTAAATAGTTTTTGGCATTTTCAACCATTTTTTTTTTTTAATATTTATTTTTGTTTAGAAAAAGCCGACCAAGTCCAAGAAAGATGCGAACAAACCCAAACGTGCGACTACCGCATTCATGCTTTGGCTCAATGAGACTCGCGAACAAATTAGAAAAGAAAATCCTCTCCTCAAAATTACCGAAGTTGCAAAGAAGGGTGGCGAAATGTGGAAAGACCTGAAGGATAAATCTAAATGGGAAGATTTGGCAGCTAAGGATAAACAGCGTTATCAAGATGAAATGAAGGAATACAAGCCAGCAGCAAGCGAGGAGAGCAGCAGCAAATCGACAGCAGCAGCAGCTAAGAAGCGCAAGAAGGAGTCACCAACGAAGAAGTCGCCAGTCAGTGCTGGCGTTTTCAAGAGTAAAGAATACATCTCCGATGATGAATCTTCATCGGGTGGTGAGAATAAGAAGGATACATCGGGCGCTGCTGATTCAGAGCCAGAGAAGAAGAAGAGCAAATCTGTAAGCTGTGTAGTTGCTGTACTATTATCTTTAATTATTTATTTATTTTTTCACTTCAGGCAAGTAAATCCGCTAAAGATAAGAAGAAGAAAGCGGATGAGAGCGAAGAGGAAAGTGAAGGTTCTGCAAGTGGCGCTAGTGATGAGGAGGAAGAAGATGACGAGGACGAAGCTACCGATGAAGGCGAAGGCAGTGATTAGACGTTGTGTAAACAACGAAATATATATATACATAATTACGTAGTTTTTTTTTTGTTCTTCGCCGAGTTTGTAGTTGTAAGCGTTTAGTTTCGTAATACTTCACACATCTCTCCCCCCACACACACACAACTATATTTGTATGTTTGTAATTATAGGCCACTTAGTTGTTACCGCCATGTATCGTTTTAACCAGCAGTAGATTGCTGCATGATATCAGAAAGCAGATTAAAGATAACAAAACGAAGATGACAAGTCTTTTTTGCCATTTTTTCATAGCAATTAACGGTAGTTTATGTATTTAAATGTTTATCAAGCTTGTGCAAAGCCASAGCCAAATATTTATTTAACTAGTGATCATATCTTGCGCCATTATTCAATATCGTTCAACGGTAATTATACAATAATAATTGCGTGGTGTTTTTATGGTACATACATACATATATATTCACTGTTCTTGTCCACTCCACGCAACTCGATTTTAGCGTATTTTATACATGAAGTTCTAGCCGTGAAGATGCCTGCTCGTGCTTGCAACACTGGGCAGCGGTTGTACAATATAACTGTTTTTGTAGCGACATTGTGCTTTTTGCAGCTCTTTGGCGATGTAAGGATGGTTTTATCTATGTGTATCGATATGTGTGTGCTAAGAATGGTTGTTTTTTTTTTTTACTAAAAGCCGAAATGGAAATGATTTCAGTGTATTTGTATTGAGAAATTTACGAATGTGCAGTGTTCGTCGTCCGATGAAAAATTCGCCATATTCGAAATGTGTCGTCTGCGTGCAGTGAAGCGTGACGTCAACGAGCTGTCGGTGGCACTGAAGTTCGCACAATCAAATGAAACGATGCGAAATGCGACGGTAAGTTGGTCTAACTAAAAGTTCAATGTGTATACATACATATGTACATATGTAATTATGTGTTTTGGTAAAAAAATTAAATAGGTATGCGCGAAAAGTTATTGAATTTAGCAACATCTTATAAAAATGTTTATATTCCCACGAAGTTTAAAACATCCAACGTTTGAGACCTTATTAAGTATATATSTAAATGTACATGTATATACATACATACATATGTACTTGTGTGAATGGAAAACTTTCCGTCTGTTTGTCTGCATTTACGCGAACTCTTTCCTCAGTTTTCCAGATGTCAATCTAAAATTTGGCATACATCATTTTCTCTCCAAGAAGCTACTTATATGTCGGTTAAACCGCTGATATCGGACTACTACCATATAGCTTAGAGCTGCCATACAGACTGAACGATCGGAATCAAGTGTTTGTATGACAACCTTTTTATKTGACGAGATATTTTGGAGTATTATCCAAATCCATAAAAGACCGATYAGCTTGTTTTCACTAGGAGGTACAAAATGGAGGATTCACTTCGATAAATGAGCCACAGCCACGACGAACAYTGCACATTCACAGCTCTCTTTCAAGGACCGCATCATGTACTTTAGGCCACCCGCCTTAGACAGAAAACTGGTGTGAAAGTAAAATGTGGATTAAAGAATAATGCGTGRAKKCAAATGCTYGGCACAACCTGGAGCCTTTGTTCCTCTGTGATTGTTGTTGTTGTAGTAGCGACAGAAAACGTTCRTGAAGTAATTTTGTGGAATGGGTCGAGTTGATTGTCCTGGGCCATATAAAAATCTGGGTCCGTTCTGGTTACTTAGACCGACTGTCTGACTGATTTTTTCCTTCGCTTATGCACTGGTGCTACACACCGATTGTTGTTGTTGTTGTTGTTGTAACGGCAGAATTCTGCCGAGTTGACAGTCCTTGGCCGGATAAAAATCCGGGTCCGTTCCGGTTTTCGTAGACCCGACTGTCGTGGGAACGGACACCGATTGTTAGACCAATTCTGCTCAACGAAGACAATGGAAAGGGTTCAGAGATTCGTTGCGRTATGCATAACGGGAGGTCTAAGAACCATTTCAACGCCGGACCTTCAACTAATGCTAAAATTGCCACCTATACATCTCTTGGCTGAAAGCTGTGCGAMAAAATCGAATTTACACATAGAATCTTCCGGTCGGAGGGTAATTACGGTTTCGCAAGCCRTGATTACATAACCACACTTTTCAATGTGGAAAGAGGATTCAGGTAAACTTAGAAAAAACGTTTGCCGTAAAGGTATGTTAACTGCGCATTACATTAAACATTTATAAATACGACGCRTAAATGGAGAACCGAGTTRGTGTATATATGGGAWATACTGTCCAGAGTTAGSTATAAAGTTGGCGGATTTCTGACATAAGTATATTTCTAGCAGAGGTCTTCACTATTGGGAAAGCCACGAYGCTAGCCTCTACTGCATTAGCAGACTATTCAAGGGTCAACATCTACTTGAACAGCCAAGCAGCAAGCAAGGCCTAGCCACTTTTTGAATATCGGCCTGAAACTGACGCCAGAACCAAGCGACTTGACATCTACTGGGTGCCAGGTCACAAAGACATCGAGAGTAATGAGTTAGTGGACGAGATTACCAAGAGTAGTGTACGGCTGTCACCCAAAAACGTGATCAATAGTAGAAAACCCATAYATTGTCTTTACGACGTTTTGTACAACAGCATGGCAAATGAGCTTAAAACGCGATAAAATCTGCAAAAGCCATGTGTAAACCRGTAGACCGCAAATATACAAAGTTACAACTGACACTCGATAGAAGGGACTATAGCAACATGGACTGGTCACAGTCTGGTGGCGGCACGTGCCTGCAGAATGGGGTTGACAGATCGAGAAGACTGCAGGAAATGTCAAGAACAAAAGAGCAGCAAAATAATGGATTACCTATTGTTCACGTGGCCCATAATGACTAGGTATTGTGTGAAGCATTTGGCGGCGATACACTGAGGTGTGGTTAGTGATGCACATAGTCAGTCGAAATTCATGTCGAGTGCAGGAAAGAAATTAATAACACTCAGARACTTCGTAACGTAATCCATCTCCTRTTACAGASGACCAAAGCTGCTCTATGTGTGGCCTATAGCCTGCCAGACTAACCTAATCTAACCATTTTCTGAAGAAAYGGTACAATCTTCGAACAAACTGTTCCGATTAGATATTTATGTATGTACATAAATGTGTTATTTTTCACGCAAAAATAGATAAGAATGCTATCTACCAATAACTAAGCAAAAATGAGAGTCAATAGTTATGCAATTAATATAATTATTCATTTAAAATATTATTTCATAATTTTTCTATTTTAATGCCATCTAAACTAATTGAGATATATGTATATACTATACTAAATTATACTAATAATATAATACTAATATATAAACGATCAGGATTTCAAGACGAGTTGCATTTCGGACTCACGCGATAACTTGATTAAAAGTTGAGACATATTTGTTCCATGGCACTCTCAGGTTTAGCAGATTTGCCAAGCAGAATCAAAGCCACGCCTACAAAATATGTCGAATATTGAATTTCAAATTCAGAATGAGATTCTTTAATGTAAATTTTTCCGAAACCTCAAATTGTTAGTATATAATTTAATTTGATTCTCTTCTTTAAACTCCAATTTTCAGATTCGYTTGCAGCTGTTGAAAAAAGCTAGCGGTTATAAGCCCTTTCTGTATGATGTTACCGTGTAYTTGTGTGAATATTTGGAAAAGCGTAACCACCCATTTCTCAACATTATTTTCAATGCATTCGGCAATCACTCGACCAGCCTACAAAGGTGTCCATTGAGGGTATGTATATATATATATGCYTAAAATATTACAATTGCATAATAAACATAGTAAAAATATATTATAAYTTGTTTGAATAGAATGAGCTGGCCATTGAACACCAACAATTTCCTACTGGGATGCTGCAGGGATTGCCACTGCCTTTGGGCGAATATGCGATTTTTGCCAGCCTCACAACCGAAAGCAAGAAACGTGTCGAAGTGAAGTTATATTTTATGCTCAACGATACTTATAAATATAAATATCTCCAAAGAGGTGATTCTGCAAAATAAAAATACATATGTGAATTTGCTTAACAGTTTGGTTAAGCGTTYTTCCGAATAAAGTTTTCGTATGATATCTTCATTTAAATGTGAGCAATTGAAATTTGCAAAGTTAGAAGTGAGGAAGGCAAAGAAAGGTTGGAAACAATTTATAGTATTTTGTTGTTGTTGTGGCGGCAGAAAACATTCCTCAATGAATTTCGAGGAATAGTGCCGAGTTGATAGTCCTTGACCAGATAAAAGACCGGATACGTTCGGGTTACAATCTGGTTACTTAGATACGACTGTCGTGGGAACGGATGTAATTTGTTCTTAAAGTCTACTTATAGAGTTGCCATATAAGAAGTTTTCTATTCAAAGGCTTTACGATATCTTTAGGCAAAAGAATAACTCGAAATTCATGTTTACAATATTTCGGTGTTTAACTCCAAATAGCGCATCTGTAAATTAGCCTAGAATGGCCGAACCCAAATTACCGAGCACCTGAATTATACAAAAGTAGAGCAAAAGAGGATTGGGAAGACATATTCGATTTTTCTAGAWTTTAAGATTCCGTTTGCGAATAACATTTATCCTTAAAAGTTATCAGGTACTCTACAATTCATATTCTTCTATACTTGCAGGAAAGATAATTACCATATGTTCTTATTAGTAGAATTTTGAAAAAGCTCATTTCGGCAGAGGCCTTTTTTTTACGTTATGTTATCGGCTTACTTTACGGAAGCCATTTCTTAGACCTTTTGATCTCAGTTAGCATATAAGAGGCAGAGCTCTATTCTTATAGCTGTRACTGTTTGATACGTTTAATTTAATCGATATACACTCCATCAACGGASTTTTTTCTAAGAGAGCAAAGGCATGAGGTTTACATAGTCAAGGTTTGCTTAAGCTAAGAATGTGGATTAAAGATTAGAAAAATATGTCTTTAGCGGGCTGGCTATTATTGTTTGATCACATGCAGAATTAAATCACAGTCTAGACGTCGGAGAAAGAAGGATTATTGGTACTTTCGGAAATCATCAATATTTCTAGAATAACATCRAAATTGAGAACGTAGGAACTGAGTGAAATTTTAGTTATCTGCTCATAAAATTGCCCTTCATTAACTGGTCAGACAGACTGTGGACCATGCAAGTACTAGCAGTTATTGCTTAATGTTCGCAGAGTTTAGATGACGTGTCGCTGTCAAGAGAAAAAGGATATTGCMACCAGCCCTCTGTCCTCTAACAAGTTTTCTTATGAGTCTACTCATTTCGATTGGCAAAAGACTTAAGCAGCAAACTCAGCACGCTCTCACTTCATGTTCAAGGTGGCACCTGTGTGAAGTGAATGTTTTTCAGCCAAAAACAAAAACATTAAAAGACGCAATAAGAAATACACAAAAAGCGTATATTAAAAGTGCAATAAACAAATTAACCGCTAATACACATTGTTATACATTTAATCAATTTGGCGACAACAAAACAATTGAGTCAATGGCAACACTTTGGCAGCCAAATAATTAATAATGGAATTGGAATATGTTAAGAATCGGCTGTAAATTTATCAAAAAAATTGAATTAATATTAATGAAGTAAGTAAATAATAAAAAGGAGAAATATTGAATAAATAAAGAGAATAAAATTAAAAAAAAGTATGTTTAAAAAGTAAAGAAAAAAAATAATGTATGTGAAGTCAGACAGCTAATCATTACAGAAAGTGAAACAATTTCTGAATTATCAATATTTTTTAAGTTATTTGAATATACTACTGTGATCAAATTGAAAGGTGAATTTTTAATTTATACTTTGGGTGTTTTTCGGATCTTTTTCTATTAGTTGGTAGTACTGTTAGTGACATCTATTCTAAAAGTGAATTCTTCGAATTKTCTATGTCTGAATTTATTAAATAAAGAAGTATGAAAGTTATTTCTGATCATTTCGCCACTTTTTCAACTAATATCGGTTAGCAACCAATGCATTCGTCTGATTTAGCTTCGTGTAATTTCGGGCTATTCAGCAAATTCACATAACGACTCCGAGGACACCGTTTTGACTCAATTGAGCTGAATCGAAGAAGGCTCTGATGACCATCACGACGGAGAATTTTTCGAAGTGCTATGATGACTGGAAAATTCGTTGGCATGAGTGTATTGCAGTGGGAGGGGATTACTTTGAGGGAGATGAAATGGAAAAAAATCACCTTTCAAATTGATCAGAGTAGTATGTACACAGATGGACAAAAGTCACCGTCATGTGGCCACTTGAATGTTTAAGAAACGACAATGCCCACAAAATACTAAAAACRCAGAAATTGAAATATACATCAGTAACTGCAATTAATTTAAATTTTATTTGTATACAAAATGTCTATTTTACTTTGCCTTACGTACAAAAACAAAGACTTACTAATTATCGTACATATTTCTAATGGACAAAAATCACCGTCATATCAGCCAAAATTTCATTTATAAGCGAAGCAAACATATTTTAATATGTTGTATGTTTACCGTTATTTTTAACAACTTCTTGCAAACGTTTTTGCATTGAATGAACCAATTTCTTCGTATCATCTGAACTGATTTTTAACCATTCTTCCAGAAGTATTTGCTTTAGGGTAGTTTTTGATGTGATATGGTGTTCTCGAACGCGTCTATCCAAATGGTCCCACAAATWCTCGATTGGATTAAGATCTGGGGACTGTGGTGGAGTTTTCAGGGTGTGAGGAGTGTTGTACAAGACCCACAATCGAACAATTTCTGCTGTATGCTTGGGGTCGTTGTCATGCTGAAAGTTGTACTCGTTCTCAATTCCTAGCTTTTCAGCACTTCTYTTCAAATTTTCTTTGAGAATATTCAAATACAGTGTTTTGTCCATTATTTCGTCAATAAACACTAACTCTCCAACGCCAGCTGCTGACATGCAACCCCACACCATGACTCCAGCACCTCCGTGTTTTACTGTTGAGTGAATATTTTTTTCTGATAATGCATCGCCCTTTTGCCGCCATGYCAAAACACGCCCATCTGACTTATAAACACAAAATTTACTTTCATCAGAAAAGATAACTTTCTCCCAAAAGTGATTTGGCTTGTTTAAGTGCTGTTTTGTGAATAAAAGTCGTTTTGTTTGGTTAATTTTACTAATGAGTGGTTTTCTTCGACAAACTCGGGCATTATATCCATTACTATTGAGCATTCTACGGACAGTGCGAGGGTGCACAACCATACCTGTGTCTTCCTTCAGCATTGCAGCTATTTCTGACGAAGGGGTTTTTGGGTCTTTTTTTATTACCTTAGCTATCTCCCGTTTTTCCCGGTCTGATAGCGCAGGTGGTCGCCCGCTTCTATGTTGATACTCGCAATCTGGATCRTTTTTAAAACGATTTATTATACCGGTAATTGTAGTTCGAGGCCGTTGAACTAATTCACAGATTTCCCGTATGCTTTATGTTGTTTATAAGCTTTTAAGATAATTTTACGCTCCTCAACAGTCGTTTCTTTCCTTTTTTGACTCATTTTGTATTAACACGCGGCGTTTGAAAATATTTGCCCCCAAATAACGGTACTGAATTGTGACATGTTAATTTMRAAGTTACCATATTACAWGGAATTGATTATAGAATAAGTTAGAGTGCCCAAACTGTTTTTAYTTACTTTATATTTTAGTTAAAACATAAACACGAGTGCAATGACGGTGACTTTTGTCCATCTGTGTATGTGTTCAATGACTGCGAGCAGCAACAGTCTTTAAACCTACGAATACTTTACCTATTAGTAATGTAAAATTTCAATTATTTGGAAAATTGCTTAAAATATGTTTTATTTGGAAATATWTTTCAAAACTGGTTTATGTAGTATTTGAGTCGCTCAATGCACACATCGATTAACACCACTTCTTGAAAAACCTTAAATTTAAGTGTTAAAGCCCTTGATATAGTCATAAATTCGTATATTTATAATAACTTTCCTGAATAATAAATATTAGCACCGTTAAATGGCAAATTTGTTTGGCAACTGAATAATAAGTAATTTATTTCAGAAGCCATTTCGATTAACTTCATACTCTAATATAAGTCGATTCAGTAACGTCGTATCTGTTCTGGCCGTCCATCGATGCTTATTTGTTTTTTAAACAGCCGAAGACGCTTCCTCCCTCTCAATAATATTCGTAACAAAATCGCATCGAWAAACAGATAAAAAGAACCACAATGWAAGCGGTAGTTAGTATAGCAKTGATCTCGCGCACTTAATGTTACTGTGTAAGTCTTAAAGAAAAAAACAAAATATTTTTTCACCAGATGATTGGTACCATTTAATCAAAACATGTAAAAAGAAAGCGTCGTTTCATTTAATCCAAATGACWCAACAAGATTTTTTATCAACAAACCCTTTAGAACAGTTTATCATTACTYGTAACAGAAAAGTAATCATCATAGTGCTTTCAGTAAATTGGCTTAAAATACGCTGGTTAAAGTTAGAAAGATACAGAATTTCAAGCCATTAATATTTGAAAATCTTCAGTAYGTAGATCACAAAGTTTGAAAAATATAGTAAATCAGCCTTTATTATTTTCTAAAGGTAGAACTGAGATAAAAGAAAAATGGAGAGACATGATGGACCTGATGAAATTCATTCCTCCTGTTAAATACGATTACTATAAGAACTTGTCAACAAATTGAAATGACGAATCCTCGTATACAGCTGATGACATTATTTATAATATTGCTGAATCATCCCAAAGAATAATGCCGCTAACATAAAGCTGCTATAAATWAATTACGAAAATTATTTTATAACCGAACTTCCAACATTAATTTTTATGTAAAAGCTGCGATAAAAATGTATAAAAACTAACGTTTGCTTTAATAAAAACTTAAAAATGAAAATACTAAATTTAACTTTATTACTTGTTTCAGTTGCCATCAATTACATGAAAACTGTAACATTACTGACGATTATTTGTTGGCTATTCTTTCTTATTAATTTTATACACCGTTAGATGAAAGATATATCTGCAGTATGCATTCCA